CAAAATCAAGTAACTTAGCATTCAGCCTGTATCTTGTACTTCTGACACTCTCAAGCACAAAAACCTTCTCATTACTTATGTACAAGCCCTTGGAAAGAAAACACACGCATGCTTAAGCCCCAAAACCACCTAGAACTCAGAATTGCATCTCATACTTCCATTGTTCCATATTCTGGCCAGAAATCCCAAAATCAAAAACTACTCGTGCGTTTCTTGGCCTTTTGCTTCCAAAATCTTCCTAGCATCATACACAAGCCATCCCTATCCCTGTTACACGATTATAACACCATCTTCCTCCATTTCCAATTTCAAAAACAGAGCATCACAGTTGGACTTCTCCAGACCATTTCAGCCACTCCCCAACCAAGCTAATCATTGCATTAGCTTCTTAGGACCTCAAGGAAGCTAACCTGATCCTTGCAGCACCTTGAAACAAGCTCCAACTCAAAACACGAATTCCATTTTCAAGGTGAGTTTTCTAACTTTTGAACTCTTCATATAGACATCATTTGCTTTCAATTTGTGAAGATAAAATGTAGATATCATAGCCTAGAAACTAACCATGCCTTTAGATTTCATTCATATTGCTTGAGTAGTTAGAATTTTGAATCTGAACATCCTAGAAAAATTAGGTCATAATTTGGTACCATTAGAAATTCTCATTCATCTTTGATCTATAGTTTTAGTTATTTACATTTCTGAAATCATGATGAAATTTTACACAACTTTCATGTTTACATTTTTGCAAATGGTTGAGAAACGAATAAGTTGCAGGGATTCTGGTTGGAGGTTGAAGATGAAGTACATTTAGGGTAAGACTTATATTATATATTTGTTGTTTTGCATAAGTTAACAGATGTATCACCACCGCAGTGGTTAAAGCGCGCGCCTGTCACCCTTAGGTCTTGGGTTCAAGCCCCAGCTTGACCTTTTTTTTTTGCATTTTTTCACATTTTCTAACATTTTTTTACTCTTTTTGTAGCGCCAGGACCTCCTCTTGCTGGGCCTTATTTTTTTGCTATGATCCAACCTCCTTGCCTTGCTGTTCATACATCCTGGCCCATTTTGTTTATTTATTTATTTTTTATTTTCATTATTATTATTAGTATTATTAATATTAATTTTTATTGTTAATAATAAAATCCCAAAAAATATTTATTTATTATTTTCATATTTTTACATTTTATTTTTCTTCACAAAAACAAAAGAATAAAAACGTTTCTTTTACATTTTCTTTAATAATTAACTGTTCTTTTTAAATACTTAGATAATTTAATTTTAATTAATATTATATTATATATATTTTTAAAAAAAATTAAAATCAATTTAGAATTTAGGATTTTTATTTAATTATTTTTATTTACTAGTTTAATTAAATTCACAAAAAAAACCCTAAAAAACTTGTTTTCTTTAAATTAATTTAGATTACTAATTTGATCTTAATTTTCTTTTTTAGTTAATCATTTTATTTAATTAGGTTAAAAACCCCTTTTCATAAATACCAAACAAAAAATATCATATTTCTTTTTACATTTACATTCTTGTATTTTATTTGTTCATTTCGTACATTCATTCAAATTCAATATGGTTGTAATAATTATTTAAATTTAATTTCTTGAAATATTCCCCATTTATAATTTGTGCACCCCATCCCCTAAATCATGTAATAGCGTAGTAATTTTAATTTCTGCAATTTATCGCTTTATATACAAATGCTAGTAATTAGGGTTTTGTATGAAAAGACTAAAACCAACAAATAGCAAACTCTAATCAAGACAAAAATAATGCATGTAAATCAATGCGCTTGCACACAAACACCCCTAGGGTAAACCCACTTTGCTGCCTTACAAAAATGGCCATATTATGCATGTGAGATATCTTAGTAAAAACAAGCAAAAATACAAGATCATAGTCCCTCGATGACGCTATCTATGTTGCCTTTCAAAATGATCTTAGTCCCTAAAGAAAAATGCTAAGATATCTTCAAACATTGCTAATCATGGTTATACGATGACCCACGTCCGTCCCTTTTAACATACAAAGATAGGGTTACTTACCAAATCAATGGTAAGATAACAATGTCAAAGGAAAAAGGAAATGAACATGAAAGACTTTTGAGTAGGTAGAATGTTCTTAGTTACTTGCTCAAACTCAAAACCAAAGCATCCTTGCTATTTTTAAAACAAACACCTACACTTTCAAAACACCTTTCAACTTTGAAAATATTTTCAAAAGATCAATACCTTTGTATATATTCTTACGAACGAGAATCTTTACAAAGTTTTCCTAAACAAAGGCCTCTTTACAAAATACTTTTAAAAACCACACAAAACACATTTTCAAACAAAAAAGCAAGTTTTCTAGCAAGTAACTAAGAGCCCATGGATAACCATGGATGAAAAGGGTGCTAATACCTTCCCTTTTCATAATCTATCCCCCGAACTCAAGAAAACATCTCAAAGGTATTTTCTGTGCTTTTTCACCTTTCCTTTTGGATAAAAGAAAAGTTGGTGGCGACTCTTGCTATCCGTAACATTTATGATCAAACGCAAAACACCCAAGTCAGTTCTTCCACCGTATCACACTAAGGATGCATGAGGGATTCTTCAATCTACTCATGAAGGCACATCCAAAGTTAAGATGTCAAGACTTCAGTTGTTCACCACAAAATTTGAGAATTTGAGGATGAAGGATGATGAAAGTATAAATGACTTCCATATGAAAATTCTTGAAATTGCTAATGCCTATAGTGCTTTAGGAGAGAAATTTCCCGAAGACAAATTGGTGAGAAAGTTGCTCCGGTCTCTTCCCAAGAGAATTGATATGAAAGTGACTTCTATAGAAGAAGCTCAAGACATTTACAAAATGAAAGTGGATGAACTTGTTGTACCCCTTCTAACATTTGAATTAAGCATCAATGAAAGATCTGAAAAGAAAAACAAAAGCATAGGCTTTGTATCAAATACTGAAGATGAAGAAGAGGATTGTGATCTGGATACATATGTAGGAATTTCAAATTCCTTGGCTATGCTTGGAAGACAATTTAACAAAGTGATAAAAAGAAGGGATAGGAATCAAAGATCAAATGTCAAGAACATCTCATTTGACATCCATAAGTCAAATGAGTTTGGAAGAAAAAGGGCTGAAGAAAATTCTACTTAAGGGAAGGGAGTTTAATGTCATGAATGTGAAGGCTTTGGTCACATTAGAGCTGAATGCCCTACATATCTTAAGAAACATAAGAACAATCTATCTGTTACATGGTCTAAAGAGGACTCAGAGTGATCTTGAAGAATCTTCCAAATATGTTAAAGCATTGACAGGAAAATATGTTTATGATGAAGAGTCTAGTGATAGGGAACTAACCTTTGATGGGTTATCTACTTCATACAAAGAATCATGTCTCAGAAGTGCAGAAGTGTTTCTTCAAGGGGAGAAACAGAAAGCCCTCATAACTCCGCTAAAGGAGGAAAGGTGTAATACCCCAAATTTTTCCCACCCTTTCACTTTTATCTGGATTATGCATCTCGCGCTTTTCTCATGTACATAACCTTCATTGGGTCATCTAACACATCATGCATCATCAGTCAATAATTTGGCATGTAATCAATATTGAGGAATTAGGGTGGCTCCATGGCTTTAAGGCTCTCATCTTCGCACAATCTTGTTTCGGTTGATTTCTCCATCAATCATTTGTTTGAATCTAGGGTTTTATTTCCTGGATCTCTTTATCATCAAGCTATAAGGATGTTCTTTTTTCTCAACATCAAGTTGCAATATTTCTTCAAGGCTTAAGATTAGGGTTTCCACATGGTTCGAGATGGGTGTATCAATTGATCATGGTTCAAATGTTTTTTCTATTTGAGCATGGAATGGAATTATGATTTAGAGTCTCCTCAACTTATAAGACTATATTTCCATCAGCATTAATCAAGAACCATGGAATCGGGGATGGGTCATTTACTTGAGGATTCCTTTGAGGCTTGGGGATAAAATTTTATCTTCTTATGGTTATGATTACTAAGTGATCAAGACTAGGTGTATCGAACTTTCATCAATTAAAGGTGTATGAGTCAAGGTCTCTGTGCAAAAAAGTATGGAAGCATCATTCATTTATCACCCATAAAATTAAGGATTCATTCCCAATTCTCCCTTCAATTTTTGTTTCAGGGACTTAAGCTAAGTATTCAAAATAGCGTGGATACTATGTGGAAATCATTTGAAAAGAAATAGCATGGGAGAAATTTCATCAAATTCAAAGATATTCAAGTTTCATACAGGTTCCATCCAAGTTTCATTCAAAGATATTCAAGCATATTATACAAGCTCCATCAAAGTTCGTTCAAATTCATTCAAAATTACAAGAATACAAAGTTCTAAACATCACATTACGAATTTGTTCCTAATCATAAGAATTCTAAGTTTTTAGACTTATGAACTTCATGCTTTAGGTTGCCAAAACAAAACTTCAAGCTTCCATAACATCTTAAAGTAATCTTCATGCTTGATGCCCTTATGTCTTGAATTTCTTCACCATGTTTAAATGTTGTATCCACATCATCTATGACCAAACTTGTTGTTAAAACCATCTTCAATACACCTTTTTATTCACCATGCCAAGCATCAACCTGCATAAATATATTACAAAAATAAAAAAATTCACAAAATATTATAATAAGACTATAACAAATAGAAATCCTCCAAATGATATTTCCATCTCATACTAACCGTCCTTACCAAATTCCTACGTCCTAACTGTTTCTAGCAGAAAGTTTCAGCCTATAACTGAACTCCAACCAACTAACCTCCAAAAACTGACATATAATGGAATTCCTTCTAACTGCCAACTCCTACCAAAACCCTAACTGTTCTTAACAAACTATGTATAACCAATTCTAACAAAATTCTAGTTCATCCTAACTGTCCTATAACAGATTTCTAATAGCCTCTAACAGAAAACTAACTAACTTCTAACAGTTTGCAAATAATTGTCATATTCCCTAACCAAAACAACAGAAAACAAAATAGAATTTCACCATCTCCCAACAAACTTCTTCTAACAGAACATAATGTAAGAGAAAAGAGAGGAGGAGGATACCAACTTCCAACAGAATCTCAACAAATTGATAATAGAAAAAGAAGAATAACAAATTTTCAGCCTCAACCATAATCTCAACCTCTCTCTTAACCGTCAAAACAAAATTCATAACAAAAAAGAGAGGATCGAAACAGAAAGGGGTAACAGAAAAGAAAAATCAGAGAATGGATTTTCACCTTTGAACCTTTCGATTGACTTATTCTTCTCTCTCTCTCTCTCTTCCATCTTCATTCATTCACCTTCTTCCTCCACCTCTCAGGATCTCTCTTTGCACCATCCTCCAACTCCCTCACTCTCTGAACTTCAACATCTTCTATAAAACTTCATTTTCCTCAGCTCCTACGCTACAAAGCTCAAACTCTTTCCACTCAGATCAATGAAGCACATCAACAACATCACAACGCACGCACCACAACAAATTAACATATTCTCTCTACTTTCTGCAAACAACATCACAAACACAACATGAACGTTTCATCATCACTTCAAGAACCTGCAACACACATTAGAACTGCATTGCAAGAACAACAAAAGCATTATATTTTGCTCACAATCGAAAGATCGAAGAAAAGAAGAAGAAGAAGAATAAAAGAGGAACCAGATCCAAAATGAAACTCAAAGACATAACGTCATACCTAAATTCACGGAGAATATTTGTTTCCGTTCTTCCACCGTCGTCATAGTCGGAGATCTGTCGGGGCTGCTCCGGCCGGTAAGCTTCAAACCGCCTATTTCTTCTATATTTATCATCTCCTTCGTTGTTAGGTTGTGCGTCCCAATTATAGGAACAGAATCCCCAAGACTGCAAGTTTAGATACGAATCCGTCGCAATGTAATTTTGGTTTAGATATAAACCTAGGGTTTCAGATTCAAGGGAGATGACGGAAGATTGCAAGGAATAATGGCATTTAGAATTGAGGGATTTTGAATGAATTGAAGAGAATCAGAGCGGTAGTTAGACCGAAGAAGAATCATAACTGAGTTTAAATGAAGAGTAGAGGCATTGTGTGTGATTTCGATCAGGGAAGAAGAGTTAAGGCACCAAGCTCCGCCGTGTGTAGCTTGTAGAAGAAGACCTCTTTTGGAGTAGAAGTCTGAGCGTCACTTTTACCTATCGGTGCCAATTTGTTGTCGTTTCAATTGTTAATTTTCTCCATCTTTATTTTATTATCTCAATTGAATTGCTTAATAACGTAGTATACTATTATGCTGAAGATAAAAGCAATATGAAATCGAATCAAGGGTTGGGCTGAAAATCCCTAATCCTAAGCCCAAATTCATCAGTTTTTGTGTGTGAAAGTTTGATACAAACAAAAATAGCTCCTGGACCCTTGTTGTTTGGACCTAGCGCCCTGCTTCGGTACACCATCAGATTCCCATTAGCACCTTCCTGAATTCACTATTTCTTTGTTAGATTTAGTATTTTTTTTGTGTGTTAATTTTTGTCAATGTAATACAGGATGAAAATAATATAAAACATTAATAAAAAAGATAGTAGAATATAATAGAAATTTTTAGGAATTAATTCTTTATTTTTTTACAATTTTCCTTAAATAAAAAATAATAATAAAAAATACTTCTCTTTTAGTTTTTGTCCATATTTTCATGTCGCTTTGCCATGTTATATTTTGACGCGTTTGTTCATTGTGCAAGATACATTTTTTCTTTCAATTATGAAACATAACAGGTAGTTATGTAATCGAAGCATACGGCTTATGCTCGCTTCTGATGCGACACGCTTTATTTCTCATCATCCTGAGAAATTCATATTGTATTATATGTTGTCCTGATGCATGCGATACTTTATGATGTCTTGTGCATGAACTTCTAATTACGCGTTTCATTCGTAACATGCGTTTGCTTTTATCTTAGTTGGATACTATTTTTGACTTTGTTTGTTTCTTGGTGAAGCTTGCTCGATGCGTACTCCTTGCTTCTCTAGTGATTTCATCTGCTCTTGACGATTTGCTCGCTTTTGGTAGTCGCCTCTACTACCTTCGTACTTCTTCTCACTTTACTACATTTCTTTACCGCTTTTCTAGATATCATGAGAAGTAGGATTTTACTGCTTTATGATGCCATGAGTAGTAGGGTAGAGATGTATGATGGGGGTGTCCATTGCTGATCATGTCAGGAACCCCTCTGATTTATTTAAAGACCCGTTTATGGAAATTCCGCATTGTGTGCATTCTGTTTGTTACTTGTGTGTGGTTTATTTAAAACCCTACCTTTGAGTAGGTATTCTGCAGGTGTGCTTATATTTGTGCCCGCGTTATTCCTCATCCCTTATTAAAGTCCTCAAAAGGAGGCGAGGAGGGAGGGATAACAATCAACCCCTACAATTTTGTCAATGTCATCCTTAGCTCGTGACGTACCACGAAACTTTGGAGTTGTGCCAACTCTTGTGTATCGAGTTGTCAAGTGGGTAAGGGTTCCGCAATCGAACCCCCATGTTTTGTCAGGAGTTTACAATGGCCAATGCTGATACTCCATAATTGTTCATATTATCTTCTGTCACTTACCTTGATCTCTTATATCTTGGTTAGGTGTTCAGTCGCTTTGGACATTGCTTTTTGTTTCTTCATCCCACTCCCGCTTATTTGTCTCGGGTGATACACTCCCCTTGGATAAAACATTTCTCTTATTTTCCTTACTCTTTTATGTGTGTGATTCTTCAAGCTTTCTTGGTTTATCCTTGTACATACCATGTTCCCTTAGGATGTGCTTGCTCCGTTCGGATGTGAGTTAGACCTTAGGTTGCAAACCATGCATGCTATCATTAGGTAGACGTTTCCCATTTGATTAATCCAAACCTTAGGACTACCATTGTATGATAACATTAAGTTAGAAATAGGCTAGTCTCCCTTGGACTCTTGTCTTTCCCTTTTGCATCCTTGCATTCAAAACTAAAACCTTTTCTTAGCAAATCATAAGACATGCTAACAACTTAAACCCTTTTTCAAGGTAGTAAAATACAAACCAACTCAAACCTTTTTGTGCACTCGAGCACCTTTTCTTTAAAACCTTTTTCAGGTAAGGACATGATTAATTTACTTCTATGCCAATGCATAAGTCTCCAAAGGTCGAGCTGCGACAGAAGGCGGAATTATCATTGTCCATAAAAAACACAAAACTAACAAAAACATGTGAGTCGAACTACGGTAGCTCTGATTCCTCAAAAATGATACGTAGGCATTGGGGTAGGGCTGAAGCGAGTACAAATTTATTTTCTCTACATTTTTTCTCATTTCTTTTTCATTCATTCTCCCTTTAGCAGTAATAAACAATAAGCATAGATTAAACACACCCATAAGATTAGAATAACAAGAGTGGAAACTATAGAGTACTACGGGCATGTGGGGTTCTAATACCTTCCCCTCGTGTAACAGAATCCCTTACTCGATCTCTCGGTCGCAAGACCGTGACTTCTCCCTTCCCAGGTTTTCTCAATGTTTACCTTTCCCTTCATGTGGGATAAAAGACGTTCGATGGCGACTTCGTTGTTTAATGACTTTCAGCCGGTTGTTTCAGCTGGAGACTTCATTGGGGATAGGTCAACCAAATGCTGGTCTATCTCGGAGTCGCTCCTAGCTCTTGTTTCCTTTCTTTGGGTGTTTATTTTTATGCTTTCTGTTTATTAATTCATTTTCTATATACTACTACTGTATTGGATCTACTTCTTGTTGGGTTGGTGTTACTATAAGGTAAAAGGCCCAATACCCAGGCCATAGTTGTATACCATAGGAACCCTAGGAATAGAGTGGAACATGAATAACTAGTTGACTTAGGTCTCACTATTGTTGCCATGTTGTCCATGCTCATATGAGGTACAAATGATGGGATATCATTTCCACGTAGGTGATACGATGATAGTTTTTCAGGAGTACCCTTGATTCTGAGTTACCCGATATTACTTTGACCTAGTTTTCACCCGTGAGTAGGGAGGGAATTATTATCACAGGTATGGATGGTGACTATGTTCATATGGTGACTATGCTCAGACAATCACTATTGGTTCTAATGGTTACGTTCTAGATTTCCGTAGATGACTTATTCAGATGCTATATTCTGTTGGTGACTATGGGGTTCTCGGATTTATTTTCTGAGTTCCTGACTTGTTTATTTGGAGGTTCATCTGGGCCTTCAGTCTTGGTATTCCCAACATGTTCAGAAAAGGCTCAACAGTCTCTGATGTTACAGAAGCCTTAATCCCATACAATGGAAGATCTACATGGTACTTAGTTCTTATAGGTGCGAAAGCTATAACAGACCTTTGATCGGATAATATTCATATGGTTCAGAAACAGTGCAACAATCATATTCAAAAATAATGGAACTTTGATCCCATGGCTTTGCATACGTAACATGGTTATCCACATGCTTAACATACAGGTTCTGTTATTTCCAAGGAATCACATTTGCAAGTCTTGTGTTGAACCTTTCCATCCTTACTTGCGTAAAATAAAAAATCAAAGCATGTAAATTCCTTGGAAACGACAGAACATGACATGGAATCCATTCATACACCCCATGCATATTCATGCATCCATAAGAGGTACTCAAAGATTGGGAATTCTTATTCATACTAGGTGTTCTCCTCAGAAGTTCAAACTTGATTTCTTACTGCACATTGTAGCGGTAGAAATGTTTAAGACTAAGCCATTGGGTTGACTAGACTTTACACAAATAAAAATAAAAATCTCCACCACGCTTTATTGTTTCCAAAGGAATGGGAAAAGAGCGAATAACCCAAAAAGAAGGGGAAAGATTCAAGGTAAGGGGGTTGGTTATGCAAAGGAAAGGTATTAGCACCCTAAACATCTATGGTACTCCGCAGAAACCTCTTTGTGAAATCTGTATATTTTGGCTATGAAAAATGTGGTATAAAAATGGATGGTGGAGGTGAGAAAAGAAATATATTTATTTTATAATTTTTGCACCCGCCACACTTGCGAACCTTTAATGCCTACGTACCACCTTTTCATGCAAAGGGGATCAAGGTTCACGTAGTTCCTCTTTTAAAAATTTAAAACACAAATATGTTGGTTAATTTTATGAGATAAAACATCATCATCACTGTCCGTGTGGAAAACATACCTACTACCCATAATTATGAGAAAGGAGAATTTGCATCATATCAAAGTGGAGGATATGGCCTGGATCTTAAAATTAATAATGCCTCACTCAACACCCAAGTGGAAAATATCTCTCTTCACTACATATTGTAGAAGTATAGTTGTTTGCATCACTACAAGGATTGGCAAGAGTTCAATCTTTTAAGAAAAGTTTAAAGATAAAAGCCAAAGTGGCAAAATGGTTTGAAATGAGATTGATTGACTTTTAGTCTTCTCATAAAAAATGTCAAGGTATTATTAAGTTGATTGGAGTTTATTTATGAAAATGTTTTGAAAATGCATGGAAATAAGTCCAAGTTTATTATGAAAGTGGTTCAAGTTTAAAAACAAGAAGAGTTTTCAAAAGGAGGAAGAAGATTTTTGAAATTAAAGAAGATGGGAGGAGAAGAAGGGACTATCCTAAAGCATAAGGTAAAATCTAGGGATAAGAACCATCTAACCAACAAGAATCCAATACTTGAAATTATGAGCCAAGATAGAATTCCCATTCCTTGGATTGAAACCAATCAAGCAAAAAACGACTAGACCTCTTGAGAGAACCAAACTTCAAGTGTATTAAGTCTTCACAAAAATTGGGCAGAGTAACGGATGTATACGGGTGAATACCAGATTACA